ACGGGTCTGGGGGGGAGCCGCAGCAGCAGCATCGCTGACCGGGGCTGCCAGGATGAGCAGTGCTGCTCCTACTCCAGCCAGCTGGCGGTCAATGAGAACCCCCCCACCTACCACGATGCCCGCTTCTTCCCCGTCCTGATCGTGCACAGGCCAGAGGGGCACGACGGGCGGCATTTCTACGTCAGGCGCTCTTCCTGTCTAGAAACCTCTCTGTGACAGGCCTCCGTGGTTTCTGGGCTCCTCTGCCCCGGGGACTGGGCTTGCAGGGTTACCCTCAGAGGGAAGCCTGCAAGCGTTGGTCTCCACAGCAGGGTGGCAGGACGAGCTTCACTCTGACCAACTAATAACCTCATTTCCAAGAGTTTCTCTCTCTCCTTCAGCTTATCTCCCAAGTCTTTTCCTCCCTTCTTCCTTTCACAGCTCCTCGGTTCCCTTCCTCTCCTCCCATCCCACTCTCAGTCTTTTTTTTTTAACATTTCAGTCACAGCATTTGACCGCTGTTGCTGCTGGAGGATTTATAAAGCCTGTACTTTGCGGTATATTTGCCCTCTCAGATGTCCTGCAAGGTAAAAAACTCAGATCGAGAAGGTGAAAGGCACGCAGCCAGCCAGAGTCAAATCAGAAGGAGAATTCAGATCTGCAAGAGCTGAGTCACCTCCTGCAAGCCCCAAACAAGGAGCTGTTTTATTTATTTTTTTACCAATCTTTTTTTTTCTCTTCTTCTGTCATTTATTCGTTCCTTTCTTCATGTTCTCCTCCTCTCACTTTACTCTCATCTTCCTTCTTTTTTTTCAACTTTCTCACCTCTGCTTCCCAATTGTTTTCTGGAGTTTGGCCGGTGAGGATGTCTTTCAGGGTGTGATTGCCTTCCATTGGGCAGAAATGAGGTATTTGCGGCACAGATGTCACTGACTGCTGACACAACCACAGGCTCTGCCCCTGAGAAGTGCTGGGGACTTTCTTTCCCAAGAAGTGACATACACGAATAAAGCAAAAAGCCCTTTGCTCACCTTACCCTGTCTGGTCTGCAGCAGTGACACAGCTGCATTTCCAACTGTAATTAACCTTGTCCAGCTCCACCCCTGTTAGCAATCCTTGAGAGCCCTGATGTAGATCAGCACCCCGTTAGTGCCACTATTTTTAGGACTGTTGGTCTGGTTGGTGCTTGTTTCATTCCTACCCCTTTCTCAGAGCAGTATGGGCTAGGCAAGGGTAGAGGGCCTGGAGCAGGAAAGGTAAATGTGGCATTAACCCTCCCACTGATAGTCTGGAATTGTTAGGAAGCTCTTCCACCCACAGCGTCTGTGAGAGCAGCTGCAAGACTGCTCTGCGTTATCGTTCAGCTTTCTGTGTGCCCTGGGGAGAGCTTTTGGCCCGTAGCCTGCTGCCGCCTTCCCACCTTCCCAGGTGAGATGCGATGCCACCCTAGCCCCAGGGCAGGGAGCAGAACTGGGAGCCAGCCCCACCGGTCACTCCTGCTGGCACTCCAGGCTCTTCCCCTGCAGGAGATGCGGCACCTTCCAGAATTGGTCCCAGAAGGTATCTGATCCTGATGGAGCAGATCACTGCACTCTGGGCAGTGGGTTCTTCTCCTGGCCCGGCTGGTGACCCCCAGAGAGCCAGAGACCAACCCAAAAAGCCAAAACCCAGGAGGACCCACCTGGGACCTCCCACCTGCCAAACCTCCATCTCACAAGGGATGGTCACCTGCCAAGCAAGCCCCGTACCCTTTCTGTCGTGTGGATGGTGGAGATCATTGTCCGCTGTGGCTCACAGGAGAATGCATTGCGATCGCAATATAGTCACTCCCAAAAACAAAATGTTGTCACACCCAACAGCAAGTAGGTAAGAAACTGAGCCCCCCAAGAGGGACTCGCAACAAATGCTTCCTCCCGAGTCCATTCTGTGTGTATCTACATGTAATATGAGGTTTGTAAAGTCATATCAGTATGTGTAGATTATGTGTAACTCTGCATACTTATATGGTGATTTCTTATGGCATTGACTGTTGCACCATGTTAAATACATTTTGTTTTGGTTTGTTGACTCCGTTTTGATGTGCTGTGTTTATTTCAGCTCCAGAAATAGAAACATCGGGAATACCTGGTCAACCCAACGTAAATGATGGCACTGTCAGAAAGGTTGTTTAAAATCGTATGAGCTGATCTTTTTTAATGAGAATACTTTACGTATGATTTATGTGACATTTTCATTCTGACAGCTTGACATTTATTGCAAAAGATAGATAACACATACGACGTGTTAGTTTGTCACCTCTAAAAAAGAATAACCATCCCAGACATGTGGAGGAACCAGGTTTGGGCTCGGGGTAATGATTATGGTTGGGCTGGAGCCAAACTGGCTAACGCTGAAACTTAAAAGAAAATTCCAAACTTAGATCCACCCTACAGTGACCCAGTCCTAGTCCTCCACCTACACTGTGCCACCTACCACCTCCAGGCAGAGCTGGGAGAGTTTGGGAACCAGGAAAGGATCAGGTCTGAGCTCAAAGCTCAAGCTCATCCTTGGTTTACATGTACGCTGAAGACCAAGTAAATGTGAGTCTGTAATACGGTTTCCTCTCCTTATCTTCGTTCACACAGAAAGTTAAAACCAGCACAGATGGAAGATACAAGAGCTGGAGGAGGCTGAAACAGAGAGGCTGGAATATTTCAACACAGTTTTTTACTGAAGGAGGTGGTAGGAAAACAAGAAAGCAGAAAGGAAGAGATGGTGGAATAATAGAAATTAAAAGAGAACAGAGTTCATCTGCAGCTAAGATAATTCCTAAATGAGCAGCCTAACTCAGTTATGGCAAGCTTAGCCCAGACACAGGCAGGATGAATTTCAGTCTTCTCGTGAGCTGCTGCAGCCACCTGTGGCTTTAAATGCCATGTCCAATGTCTTGGCATGGCCAGTTTGGTCTAGTCTGTATTTCAAGATGGAGAGTTATATTTGGGTCCTCAGAAGTGGCTACACTAAACAGTGTTATTACCCAACACGAACAACCTCTGGCAATTCCATTATTATGATGGGTTGGGTGGAGAATAGAGACAGTTTATGCCCAGTTTATCTTTTTCAGTATCCTCAAAAGCCGCTGTTATATCCAGCAGCTCTCAAGCTGTGCTCTTGGCAGAGTTTGGAAAGCCCAGAGCATTTCTGCTTTCTCACTCCCTATGTTTCTGGCCCAACTTAGGGGCATTTATTTAAGAAGCTATTCCTAAGCTGCAAAAGCCCTCACACAGGAGCTCCCTCCTGTCACTTTGCTGTAGCCTCTGGTGATGACTGAAAATGGAGAGACCTGGATTTGACAGATGGACCACTCGGTGGATAAAGAACTGGCTGGATGGTCGCACTCAGAGAGTTGAGGTCAATGGCTCGATGTCCACACAGAGACCAGTGTCAAGCGGTGTTCCCCAGGGCTCTGTTCTGGGTCCAGTATCTTTGTCAGTGACATGGATGACAGCACTGAGTGCACCCTCGGTAAGTTGGCCAATGACACTAAGCCGTGTGGTGCCGTGGACTCACTTGAGG